TGTGCTGTGATTGGCTAAAGCATTGCACCTGACTTGTGGTCAGGTGCATTTCTTTGGTTAATCACAATACGCTGTCAAGGAGCAGTGCACTGTGGGGCGCGGAGGGCGAATAGCCCACCGAACACCCTTTCCATTCATGTGTTTGCCGAACACACAAATGGCAGATGTTTGAGTCGAACTTACTCCACCCACTAACTCACTCACTGCCCAGGAGATCGCTAATCACTTAAAAAATAAGATTGATACAATTTTTGATGAGATCTCCACTGTACAGATATCTCCTTCACCCAACACTCCTTGTTCACCTGCACAATCTATACTTCCCTTGTTTAACCCAACCTCCTATAGAGGAGGCTGGTAAACTGTTTTCTAAAGCCCACCTAACCACCTGTCCCCTGGACCTTGTTCCCTCACAAATACTACGGTCACCCTCTGGCTCAATCCTTCATTCTTTAACTCATATCTCAATCTCTCCCTTTCTACTGGCATCTTTCCCAACTCTCTAAAACATGCACTAGTCACCCCCATACTTAAAAAAGCCTCACTGGACCCCACCAATCTTGGCAACCTAAGACCCATCTCCTTACTCCCTTTTGCCTCCAAACTCCTTGAACGTCTAGTCTACAACCGGCTGAGCTGCCACCTTATTGAAAATAACCTTCTCGATCCCAATTATTCTGGTATTTCGCCCACAACACTCCACAGAAACGGTTCTCCTAAAACTCACAAATGACTTACTAACCGCTATAAACAATGGTCACTATTCCTTACTCTTGCTCTTGGACCTCTCCGCTGCCTTTGACACAGTTGACCACCCGCTCCTCCTGAAAAAACTATTTACTTGGTCTCTGTGACTATGCTCTCCGTTGGTTTGAATCTTTCCTATCTCACCGTACCTTCAGTGTCACTTACAACACTACTTCCTCCTCTTCTACTCCTCTTACTGTCGGGGTCCCCCAAGGTTCTGTCCTTGGACCTCTCCTATTTTTGATCTACTCTTCTTCCTTGGGTCAGCTGATAGCTTCCCATGGTTTCAAATAAAATTTCTATGCTGATGACACACAAATCTATCTCTCTACTCCTCAGCTCACCCCATCAGTTTTCACACGTATCACCGATTTACTAACAGACATATCAGACTGGATGTCACACTACTTCCTAAAACTCAATCTATCCAAAACTGAGCTCATAATATTTCCTCCCCCATATGCCTCTTCCCCTGATTTCTCAGTCAGGATCAATAGCACCACTATCAACCCATCCCTGCATACCAAGGTGCTAGGTGTAACCCTGGATTCTGAACTATTTTCAGTCCCACATCCAATCCCTGTCCAAATCATGCCACCTCAACCTCCACAACATCTCCAGAATATGCCACTTTTTAACCAATGATACCACAAAGCTCCTAATTCACTCCCTGGTAATCTCTTGCGCCTCGACTACTGCAACTCCCTCCTCATTGGCTTACCTTTACATAGGCTATCCCCCCTCCAGTCCATCATAAATATTGCTGCCAGGCTGATCCACCTTACCAATCCGGTCAGTGTCTGCTACACCTCTCTGCCAATCCCTCCACTGGCCTTCACTCACTCAATGAATAAAATTCAAAATACTAACAACAACTTACAAAGCCATCCACAACTCTGCCCCAGCTACATCACCAACCTGGTCTCAAAATATCAACCACACCACTCTCGTCAATCCTCCCAAGACCTTTTGCTCTCTAGTTCCCGTGTCACCTCCTCCCATGCTCGCCCCCAGGACTTCTCCCAAGCTTCTCCCATTCTATAGAACTCCCTACCCTAATCTGTCTGGCTGTCTCCTAATCTATCCACCTTTAGATGATACATAAAAACCTCTCTCTTTAAAAGAAGCTTATCCTGCTTCTACCTAGTAAACCGTTATTTATTTCCTCCATCAGCTCATACCCCCACAGCTATTACCTTTTGTATCATTCAACCCTTCTTCCTAGATTGTAAGCTCTAACAAGCAGGGCCCTCTGTTTCCTCTTGTACCAAATTGTATTGTAACTGTAATGTCTACCTTCATTTTGTAAAGCGCTGCGCAAACTGTTGGCGTTATATAAATCCTGTAATAATAATAATAATAATAATAATAATAATAAATGTTCGAGTTGAACATCAAGCCCAACTCTAATGCTCATATTGGGGAAAGTTCCTCCTATTCCACACCAATCTGGATTGATACTCCCAAGAAAGTTGAATGACTACAGCACCAACCCCTCCATAGGCAAACACACGTATGTTACACTAAGGTGAACGTAAATGGTTGAAGACAGATCTTTTTATAAGAAAGATTGTTTGGTGGCTGCATCTTGAATGCATTGCCAGCTGCATTGTAAAGTTGTCAGTGGTTTTAGTCATCCAGCTTGTTTGTAGATTTATATGGGAATAATGTATGGGCTGGATGTACTGTATTTATGGTATACCCAACATCAAAGGATAACTAAACGTGGAATTACAGTCAAACTGATCAAATCCACTCTCAAACATTTCCATACTATATGGATACACCATTATTCAGAGTCAGCAGATTTACAGCTCCACCTCCATTCTGCTCATTCGATCAAGAAATAGGTTTAAAGTGATCATTTAGGATCATGTTATTCTTTTATAACTAACTTATGATGTAATTTTTTAATAGTAGTTTATTCTGCTAAAAGGAGAAGCATGGCCAAAACAATTTGGCCATACTTCTCTCCTGGGTCACAAGAATTCGATTACTTCCGCTGATCAAATGATGGGAAAGACCCGCTACTGGCTCTAGAAGAATCCCAATCATGTTGTTGGAATCTACCCAGCTGCCTGATTGACAGTTGGCTCTGGCTCTCAGCATATGGCTGAGAGCTGAAGCCAGCTTTATCTGCCCCTCCCCAACCCAGTGCTACAGTGAATGCTGGAGGAGCAGAGCTGAAAGCAGTGGTGATTGTCATTACTCTCTGCTCTGAGCAGACGGAGAACTGAGTGATCAGCGGTCATGTGATTGCTCAGTTATCAGGCTTAGAGCTGACATGGGACAGCTGCAGCATCACACTAATCATAGAGGTGAGTATAGATGTTTATATATATTTTATATATCCCAACCTTCTCATTTAAATCATATTAATTTTATGATTTTAATTTATTTTTATCCATTTGCTTTTGATTTTATTTATGAATTGTTTTTTTTTCAAATGTTCATTTTATGAGTCTAAATGATCCATAATCATCCTATTTATGGGTTATATATATCTATTCAAACTATTTATCTACTTATTATTTAAGAAAAAGTTTTTTATATGAATTAATGGACACTAGAAATATTCACTAAATGTATTAGGCTCCATGCCCACTGGTGTAAAAATTGTTGCTTCTACAGGAATTTTGTGTTTTGCCTGTAGAAGCAGCTCAGTGTTATCCTATGTGTCCATGCACATTAGGATAATTAGAGGCATATTTTAAGATCAACGTTTAGAGGCAGAAAGAAAATCCTTCTGGTTTGCATTTTTGATTGGAGATTTTAGTGGTAAAAAAAACAAAAACGATAAACTCTCCTAAACTAGTCTAAAGTCACCTAAACTGTGTACAAAAAACGCTCTATATCAGCATTTCTTCTGCCAAGGGAACTGGCGTTTTTTTTTTAAGCCCAATGGGCATGAAGCCTTACTATGAACGTTATTATACATTTTTGTGAAACTATGAATTTTTATTTCTTCTTTGTATTTATTTTATTTCCCTGATGTAGGGGGTAGTGTTTTGAGCCCAGAAATGCACTGGATATTTTGTGATCATATAACCATTAATCAATAAATTATTATCGCTACTTACTTTAAACATTTGGTGTGGTGCTCCGGTTGTTTTTTACATTGACATTTTTATTGCTGTGTGTGTCCCTTAAAGGGAAATTACTTTCTCTAAGTGCTCTGGTGTACAATGTTACCAAGGGGAAAATCCAAAATTTTGCATTGTTGGTCAAAATGAGAATAGAGGAGAAATCTTACAATGGAAGTTTTTTTTACAACAAGGAAGGGAATAGGTGGGAAGTCTCTCCCAAGGAACACTGATTGCAAAAAAAAAGAAAAAAAAAAACAGGTGTTTTATCCATTCTGTACTCTATGTAAATGAAATATTTGGATCTAGATATACTTTTGCCCCACTGGAAAGAAGTACTCCCTTTGCTGTAAAACTACAATACCACCACCTCCAGCTCCCACTACTTGAATCATAGGATAACCGTACTGTTATAACAAAAAATCCCTTGCTCACTGTGATTGCAATAAGCTTGATTTTTGATGTGCGGTGAAGAAAGGAAATTAATAAAAATATATATTTTATATAATTATACTATTTGAATTTTAAAATAAAATAAAATAAATGTAAATAAGTTTAAATTAATCACTCTACAGCTAAAAGTGCAGAGCGGTTTGGAATAATTTGTGATCTGTCTGCTAATCTGAATCTAGGCACAATCTTTTAAAGCCCAAATCCAGGCTTTTTTTAATGTCCCCCAGCAGATGTATAAAAAAAAAAAGAAAAAACTGAGGCCACAAAATGTCCTAGACACAGAAGACATACTGTGTGTGCAATATGTACAGGTGTGGCTCCTTGGATTTGCTGTGCAATGATGCAGAAATCCACAATGACTTCAACATGCTGTGACATCTTTTTGCATCATTGACGGACCCAGAGAAGAGAAGGACTTTGTGGAAGTACACCACTGACCTTATCATTTCTAGAGAAGGTAAGTATAGAAATAAAGAGCATACAATACTTATTCGGGAACCTTCTGGGAGGAGGGGTGGTTACAGAGCCCGAAATTGGGCCTTTATGTACATGCAGCTGATACAGCAATGGGACACTAAATGATCACAAAAAAAGTATTTTTTTTTCTATTATCCAGGGAAAGCCAGAATCTACACTGTATTACCATGATGAAAACTTAACTGCCTTGGTGGCCCAACTGTTTGCTGCTGGAATGGAGACTACATCCACCACTCTGAGATGGAGCCTCCTGATCATGATTAAATACCCAGAAATCCAAAGTAAGAGCAGTACAAATGCTAGTGGCTCGGAGTATGCTTACATTCTGTTAATTATTTGATCTGTTCAAAATTGTTTTATATTGCTAGAGTTTATAGGAAATAAGATCTCACTGAATTATAAGTCACAGGCATTCTACATATATATACCAACCACATGAGAGAGCTATTTGTACCACCCCTCCTTAAAGGCACAGGGGCACATGGGGTACCCAGCATATAGCACAATGGCAGCCAAGCTATCCAGTGCACCCCCTCACCAATATATCAAAACAAACAAATGGCCACTTACCCAATCTGTAACTGGCCTTCACAGCATGGTGCAACTGGAAGGGCAATGCATTTCAAACAAAAAAAAAAGAAAAAATTCCCAGCTCAACTTATCGACCAACTCTATAAATTTTGAGAGCCTCATCCATCATAGAAGCATATGTATCATAATGGATAGACTGGGGCGGTGGCCAGTTGTTTGCACTGTTGATATATTGGTGAGGGGATGCACTGGACACCCACCTAGCAAGGTACCTTTCTTTGCTTCAAGGAGGTTTTGCATTCCCATGTATGTCCATGAGAATGCTAAATTATCTTGAAGAAGCTCAAATTCACATGTCAATGCATTCTATAGGAGAAACTCAATCTAGTGACATTGACATAAGCCCAAAGCACTAATGGAGCAAGGCATCCAGGTAAAAGGAAGCATGTGACTACCCCCATGTGACAGTGTTCAGGTCTAAAGGGCAAGTCACAAGCTGTGACATAATTTGCCAGAGAGAATCATCTGAGCTTTGCAGTGGCAGGGAAGTCACAATGGTGGTGGTAAGCATTCACTTGCCAGGGAGGAATAGTCAATCAGGAGACACTGTCACTGTGACCTGACTAGAAAAATCACGGAATTACTTACCCAGAAGCAGGGCGGACTGACAACTCATGGGGCCCCCGGGCAATAGGGGGTCATGGGGCCACTGTGTCCTTGCCCAAACTCAAAAAAGCCTATGAAAAAGGTACCAGGGGCATCTCATGGGGCCCCCTACTGACCCTGGACCTTTGGGCAGTGCCAGAGTTTCCAAATGGTCAGTCCACCCCTGCCCAGAAGTATCAGATTTGTCCAACCTGCCTGGTTTGCAGAGAATTACAGTTTGCTACTTAATTGAAAGATTTGTTCAAAGCCTTTATTATATGACAAAGTCTAACCAATTTTTCTATCCTCTCATCAGGATTAGGGAGATGCAGAATGCTTTCAATAAACTTGATTTCAAGGCAGAATTAGTATTTTCATGTTTGCCAATACTGGTCACTGATTTTAGCAGTGCTCTGAGCCTTATAGTTCAATCACTATGTCTCATGGCTTTGTTGAGGAATAAGCCATTGATGAGCACAGTGGTCATATGGCTTTGTTTATCAGGAAAGTTATATGATCTAGATGAAAGCCTTGTTGTGGTGGAGTTCACAAAACAAAGCGTTAGGGCTACCGTTAGTTAGGTTTACCCTTGGAATTACAATTACCTTTAGGGTTAGCATCAGAGTTACCTGTAGAGTGCCCACATTTGCAAACCTATGTGGAAGCCACACTGCCTGGTCAAGGCTCCTCTGTGAAGTGTGATCCCTAACTGTAGTTTAACAATGCTCCTATCTTGGTACAAATATAGCAATTAATACATTGCTAGCAGGCATGCCTAGAGGTAGCCCAGGCAGATGAGCAGAGACACATCAGAAGCCCAGCATAGCTCAGTGGCAACTGAAGACCTCCATTGTTTCCCTGAACACAGTTATTTATGTCTATAGGCAGTTGTACACAGCACCTGGGCTTTCCAGGTGGGAGAAATATCTCAGAGTTTGTTGCATGGGCTCAGACAGCCGTGTACAAGAGACCTTAAAGTAAGGTGCACACCAAAAAAGACATTTTATAGAAAAATGGATTACAAAAAAACCACAATATTGATACCAACTAGCCAGCAAAAAACAAATTATATGCGGTTTTGACAATTTCCATTAAAAGACTAGGTATTTGTGGCATACATTTGAAAATATATGTGGAAAGCACCCCATGTCACGATCAGGGGTCAGGCTCAAAGACCAGTTGCTATAGCAGTGGAAAGGCTTACCTGAAAACCAGCAGGATAGGTACACAGGCAGGTCACTGTAGCAGAGGAGTGGGATCACTCGATGTGTGGAGTCTAAGCACCAACCGGTGTTCACCAGAGCTCCTGATGGTGGAGATGGATTTTTCTGCATGTTAGCACCAGGTCGCGATCCTCAGGATCACCCCATCAGGAGGTGAACAAGCGGAGGTCCAGTAGCATATAAGCAGGAAAGATCAAACGGAAGCATGGTAAGTAAACAAGCCAAGATCGTTAAGGAGCAGTCGCAGGTTGGGATCAGGCAGAAGCATAGTTGAGAACAAGCCAAGGGTCAATAAACGAGTGATAGCAAAATATGGATAACAGCAGAGACAATAAGGAGCACGATACTGGCTGGAGAGCACAGTAGTCTGGCAAACAGGAAGTGCAGAGACATGGCCTATATCAGGAAGTTCAAGGGAGGAGCAAGGGGTTCAAGGTTCATGATAAACAAGGTCAGGGTAGGATCATCCAAATAATTGTCAAGGTAGCTGTTCAGCATTCCAGGTGGCTCAGCAAGAAGAAACATTGCCACTCACCGCAGAAGACCGAGGCTCTGACACCCTATCTTGTCAAGACCCCTCTCATTTAGTTTTGTTTGGCTTGTTATATATTATGTATGTCATAATTGTATTATTGACCTGATACAGTAGATGTCATTGTTTTGTAAACTGCTGCAGAAGACATTGTTAGTATATAAACCAATACTGAATATTTATTTTAAATATCCAACAGAAAAAGTGCAAAAAGAAATTGAAAAAGTTATAGGCACGGCTCAACCTAAGATAGAGCACCGGAAGCAAATGCCCTATACAGATGCTGTTGTATGTGAAGTTCAGCGCTTTGGTGATATCGCCCCAGCCAGTCTTCCACATGCAACGGCTCATGATATCACATTCAGAGGCTATTTTATTCCAAAGGTCAGTGATTCAAATAAAATCTGTGGGTTTGAGTGAGTGTATGTGTATTTGTGTATATACTGTAGATTGTGACCAGGAACATTTTTGAGGGATTACTAGTCCCATATGTATTCCCATGAAGCGTATTAAAGAAAAACTACACTTCAGTAGTAGAAACAAAGTCCTACATGTGAGCAGGTGGAGGTTCCCTTTAAGGGTTGCCCCTTTTGCTGGTGGAGTTGGTTGTGTGGGTTCCCCTATCTAAGGTGGGTGGAGCGATAATACAGCTGGGAGTGTGACCTGTATAGAATTTGGGAGTTGGTGTCCCCACTTTGGTGGAGGGTGGACAGAGATTGTGAGGGAATTTAACAAAAAGGAACTAAGAGAAAGAGATATGACTCCAAGTCTGAAACCACAAGGTACCTGCATGCTAATGAAACATCGGATGCTAATCTACTGCAAGCCATAATTTGGTAGTTACCGTTTTTATGATCAGGACTGTTTTGTTTTGCTGACTTATGCAAGTAAAGGACTTTATTGCAACAACAAGCCTCTGTGTGATGACCTACTGAGTGTGTTAAGTGCAGCCAATGCCTGGAAAGTGGAGTGGGTTACATGTGTTACAGGTGAGCATTGGAGTGGGTAATGATGGAGAAGAATGAGTCCCTGCCTGACAGTGAGAGAGAACCCCCTTATGTAGCATGGTTCAGGGGACCAATGCTCTCGTGTTGCATTGGCCCCAGGTGAACAGTTGTGTCTCTGCAGCCTCGGTCTTTATCAACCATAGGCCTATGTCTGTGAGTACTCCAGGCGGGTTAACTGTGAGGTGACCACCAGGATGGGAAGAGAAGGTTTAAGACCAGCATCTGTGCATGTTACAGCATGTGATTTGGGCTAAGCAATCTGTGATGCCCTGCAACCTTTATGGAGGGGTGGAGACTCAGATGCATGTGTTAGTTATGTGGAAATAAGCAGTGTTTCTGGACCCCTGGCTTTACTCAGTCTGAACAAACAGTTTGGTAGGTGAAACCTCCATGTCCTCTCACATGCACAGTTTTCAAAAGTCCTTTGCACAGCTCCCTTATTGTGAAGCTTTTGTGCCCTTCTATGACAAGCAGATGGACTTGTAGACTGGGGTGGTCACGATCCAGACCCACCCAATCTCTTCTGTAGCCAGAACTTCAATCCCAATAGAGGAATTTTTCAATCAAACTCCTAAAGGAAAATTGACCTGTTTTCCTCACCAGTCTAGCTTAGAGCCCACAACTGCCCCAATTCACATTCTGGGTGGTAAATACTTGCCGAATTACACTGTTTCCGCCATTTAGCACAGACTGTGTTACTATATATTGTATATTAGATTGTCATAGGTTGTGCTATTAGATATAATAAGTGAAACTGGGGGAGTCAGTTTTGGCAGAAAGGGTTTTTATCTAAGTAAACATGAGTGAGTTTGGCACATACCTCTTCACTGGTCCCAGTCTGTTTTATAGTGGCTACACACATATCAAAATATTCTTTCAAATTCAGTGCTTCTAAATCTAATCTGATTGACTGAATAAAAATCAAAGCAAAGATGCCTCATTCAATTGACTTTCTGACCTTTTGATCAATTTTGACTTCTAAGTCAGTTGACCACGGTGGAATTCTGACAATCCCTGCTGATTGATCAAACAAATGTATGTATGTATGTTAAGTAATAATAAAATGCTGTATACTGCACAATATTTTTTAATCTACTTTGTAATTACTTTCCTCTAGGGAACCACTATTATTCCATTGCTGTCCTCCATATTGAGAGACAAAGCTTACTTCACAAAGCCTGAAGAGTTTTACCCAGAACATTTCCTTGATGCTGATGGGAATTTCAAGAAGAATGAGGCATTTATACCTTTCTCAGCAGGTAATTTAAAACTGAGTTTTCCAGACCTAACCGTAGATTGAATCTGTAAGGACAAAATATAGGATCTGTTATTCTGCCTTAATCTTGCTATTCTTAACCTGTTTTTAAAATGTGCAGTCTTTGGAGCTGGTATATTGATCTTGGCTTCTCTATCTAATGAGTAGAGAGTATATGAGAATATATGAGAATATACAGGGCAGCAGTTCAGAATTTTTTAACTTTACTGATTGCATGCTCATTCCACGTCAGTCACTCACTAGGTAGTAAAAGAAGGATGGCACCCCTGAAACCTGCAAAATCTAGCATCTTGTTGAGTATCTGTTTAAATAATCATGGCCATTCAACCCATGGAACCTGAGCAAATTTATTGTTTGGCCATCCTTAAGGAAGTGTTCTGGTATAGTTACACCTTGCCTATGATAGCACATATACTGAAGCTGCTAAATGACACATTCTCATTTAACTCAGAGTACCACTGGCCTGTGAATATTTACAATATACTGTATATAAAAGTTAACCTGCCACAAACACATAAAGAGAGATTACCTTTATTAAAAATTATAATGTAAAAATTGAGCTTGAACTTCCCTATTGGTTAGGGAGACTCGCCATCACAGTAGAGGACCAATAGGATGACTCCACAGGTGGGAAGGAAGGCATGGTGCAAGCTAATTTTTACATTAAAGAACTTATTTCAATAAATTGTATCTGGTTTTTTTTCTAAGGTAAGAGAAGTTGCGCAGGAGAAAGTTTAGCCAAAATGGAACTCTTCCTCTTCTTTACCACATTGCTGCAAAACTTCACCTTCCAGGTTCCACCCGGGACTGTTGTGGACCTCACTCCTGCACTGGGGTCTACAAATGCGCCTTTTCCTCAGGAAATATGTGCTATACCTCGCAACTAAAACCTTCCTCCAAGATAATCTGATATCATGATGTCATGTTTCTTCATCCACACAACAGGAAAGACAGCACTGTCTATACAACAAATGTTGTGAAATATTTTTTTTTTCACTATAAGACAATGTTATTTCTGCAGATATTTCTGTGCATTTCCAGCACTGCTCTTTGGAAAAGATGATTGTTGATTTAATTATTGGGTTTGCTTCTTACTATTGTGCCACTATGGTATAGCTGGAGAAATCTCAAAAGACAGATGATCACTGTGTCTGGAAACGTCTCTTGGCTGAAACGTCTCACAGAAGATAGTAAAAGGACTGCATAAGACAGAGACATTTAACCACCTACAGTACACTTTAACAGTGGTTTTAACATTAGTTCATTAAGTCATTTTACAGCTATGCAAAGCAGACAATTTACCATAATTTGAAATAATTCTCTTTTCCTTACTCTTCTCTCCCTCTTCCAAAAGCACCTATGAAATGTTGTTTTTACATTTTGTACCTACCTGTTTTAATTATAATATTCATGTGATGATAGTAGTCTCACTATCCCACCACAGCCACTAAAATGTGATGATGGCTTTCTCAGCCTCACCCTGGGCAGAGATTTTCCAGTGCACTGGCCAACAATCTATGGCCAGCAGACTGAGAGTGATCATCACTGGATTTGGTTAACATAGAATGTAACAAAAACATGTGCCATTCCCGATATTTGCTGTAGCAATTCCTATTTTTAAGAATTGTGTCTGTAATATTCACTGCCACACCAGATAGGAATATGACTGAAGTTAAAACATAGTAAACTTATTCAAAGAGCAAGAGTTCTTTAAGCTCTGGTTGAGAGCATTTAGAGAAAAAGCCTAATGATTTTTAGATCTCATTTTATGAAGAGATAAGAAAATAAGTGCAAGAAAAATATTTACAGAAAACAAAATATTACAAAATATACAGACAACAGCAACAGTAAAATAAAGGGTAACAAAAGTGAAGAGTACTAAACAAGGATTTTGCCTGATTTGTGGTTCTGGCAGTGTAGAGTTCAAAGCAGTTAATCCCAATCTGGTATATCACTTGCCCTGGCCAGCTGAAGTAGCCTTTTGTGGACCTTCTAGCGTAGTGTCACTTATCTTGTCCTCACTCAATCAAATGAGCTCAGAGGTGTGATATAGGAGTGTTGAAGCAAACTTAATTTCCTTAATTTGGGGTTGCTCTCATAGATAACTATTGGAAACAGGTGATAACTTTTCTTACTGCATTGTGAAACTTGCAGATTCCATGCACCCTATAATTTGTCCTCTTAGATGAAGAGAGCGGGTCCAGCTATACAAGAATTTTAAATTTTTTTGGCTTCCAAACCCATTAGATGAATGAACCCAACCCCCTTTCCAATGGAAGGCCTTTGCAAAACAGGTCATTCCATAGGAAAAAGGTATATATGGAAAAAAAATTGCCCCCCAAAATTTTACAAAATATGGGACTAAGAATTTACATCTACAATGGATCCCAGGTCATCACCCCAGGTTCTATTTTTGTATATCTTGAAATTTGCATGAATATGCATTGTGATGTAAATTGTGTAATTATAGTTTATACATGCCATAATTCACCAGAGACTGTTATGGTTAAAGCTTGACTTTCTTATTGTTTATAAATGTCCTGCTGGACCATTGTAAAATTGTATTTTTACAATAAACAAAGTTTAAAAAATATGAATTGTTCAAACTATTATTTGACAAATATAGCCAAAACCTTGTATAGTATCTACATTTAATCAGTTTAATGTATTAATAGATAAAGTGCAGAACAGGGTACTGGACTAAGCTGAACCCCAAATTGAGCACAGAAAGCAGATGCTGCCATTCATGAAATATCGATATTTGGAGATATTGCACTGGGAAGTATTCCACATGCAACTTCAGAAGATGTCATATTTACAGGATGTCCCAAAAGTCACCATACATAGGGAAAATGGGAGATTGAAGCTAAATATACCTTTATTTACAAATTATTTGTTACTCAATTAACAAAAAAACACAAAAAAGAAAAAATACATAAATATAAAAAGTAATAAAAATACAATATAACATACAATATAATTTTGTTAATGTTTCCTATGTATTGAGACTTTTGGGACACCTTGTAGACCCAACTTCAATAATCCTTACTGCACAACACTCAATGGTACTATTGCACAATTCTCATTATTGCACAACACTACAAAGAGCACACAAGACCAATGGGAGGGTTTTAATAATAAATTAGGCATTGTATTCCATTGGATAGCAATAACATTAGTTATTGTTACATCTTAGGACGAAACAATAACTAATGAAGCTTTACCAAAGGTACCTTTGTAGCTGACAGGCACAAAAGAGACAAGAGAAATGTAAAATGTCCATCTTCAGGATGAGTTCCAGAAATCCTTCTATGCAATTCTGCATCCAATGAATGGTACATACCAGAGCACCTCCTGTTCTAAATGCTGATTTACTGGTGCAGCTGATGGCAGTTCTCTCCAGGAAAAACTAATGGACCTTTATTTTCCTCCGTACTGCTGTTTGCGTACTGAATATCACAACTATGCACCCCCTAGCTGCCCTCCCAGGTTGTTCAAATATGTACGTCCCCTTCCAGGCTCCAGCTGAGCTTAGTAGCAGATCACAGAAGGACATTCAAACTGTGCATTTGGGAAGTGTGCAGTCTTCTTCTCTAGCCGAGCTCAGCCCGAGATTGAGACCACGGACTGTGCATGTGCACAGTTTAAACAGAGTGGCTGTTACTAAGCTAAACTGGAGCAAGGCAAAAACAAACTTCCAGCATTTTTGTAATATGTAGAATAATGTCTGCGATAAAGATTTCAAAAGTGACAACCAGCATGAATTTATGAAAGATTGTTTTTGTAAGATCAACCTGTTATTGTTCTATGATTGAGTGAGATATTGTACGGTGGAGGTCCAATGGACATAGTTTATTTTTACAGGTACTTATATAGTGCTGTCAATTTTTGCAGCACTTTACATGTATATTGCACATTCACATCAGTCCCTAACCCTCAAGGGGTGTACAATCTAAGGTCCCTAAATTACATGCATACATACACATACTAGGGCCAATTTAGACAGGAACCAATTCACCTACCAGCATGTCTTTGGAGTGTGGGAGGAACCTGTAGTACCCAGAAGAAACCCATGCAGGCACAGGGAGAACATGCAAACTTCAGGCAAGTGGTGCTGTGGTTAGGATTTGAACCAATGACCCTAGTACTGCCAGGTGGAAGTGCTAACCATATAGACACCACGCTGCCCATGTTTATCTAGTTTATCTAGATTTTGCTAGATTTCATACTGCACCTCATAAACATTTAATGTAAAAAAAAAAAGAAGCTTTGTTGGAATAGAAGAATGTGTTTGTACATGAATAGGAAACTGGTTACATGAATATGTTCAGAGAGTAGTGAGAAATGACTCATTCCGTGAATGGCCTAAAATTGTAAGTGGTGTGCCCCAGAGTTCTGTTTTTGGGTCCAATGTCGTTCAATGTGCTTATTAATGATATAGTTGTTGGGATCATGAGCTCAATTTCATTGCTTGCTGGTAATACCAAACTATGCAGGAAAATATATTTGGTGCAAGATGTAGCATTATTACAGGAAGACCTTAACAAAATACGGGGTTAGGCAGCTACACGGCAGATGAGGTTAAATATTGAGAAATGTAAAGTTTTGCATTTGGGTCCCTACCAATAAAATGTAAACATTAGGGCAAGGTCTTCCTGGTGATATCATTGACAAAATATAGACATGACCATATTTTGGTCAGTGATGTAATGGGGACTGCAATGAGATTGTTGACCTAAAATAGCAATGTAGTTATATGGTAAATTATGTTACCTGGGGAACAGGAGCTGTCATTTGGCCAAGGGAAGCTATGGATGAGATGTGTGTTGGTAGTTGGGGAATTTTTTTTTTTCCATGCATTATGATAGACATGTATCTGCATCACTGGATGACCTTGATGACAGATGAGTATTATGGGACTTTTTTGCTTTAAGGGCTTGCCAGAATATCAATATTTGTGTATGTGTCTTTATTTACACTTTACATTTTTTGTAAATGAGTGGCGGAAGGCTACCCTACCCCATACTAAGGGCATATGGCCTTGTATAGTTGAGGAGGGGTGATGCATGCTTGTTTACCCCTTGCCTGGCCTGTCAGGATGCTTGCTAGGATAAAGGACTAGGGTTCCTCCTCCAAATTCTTCCCAGACCTGGTTTAAAATTTGACAGGCACCCTACTTCATTTTTGTGTCTAGTGGTCCCTCATTAACATCTATATCAAACTTAATTAAATACATTTTTACACAAAAAAAAACACACAAAAAAAAATGAGCTTCAGTACATGTCCCCTAGGGCAGCCCCCTACCCCCCATACTATCTGTTTGACAAGCCCTTACCTATTAACCTTGAAAATGGCCATAGCTGTTTTTAACATTTGGCTCCTATCAACTTCAGATTCAACAGTTGGCCTTTGGCACTGTTTACCAAACCATAGTCAAACTGAATCCAGGTAATATGTGTAGTAAGGACCCCTAACATTCGATCCCTGGAGGAAAAGTAGCTTAAAGTAATAATAAAAGTAATTTGTTTGCTTTAAAATAAAAAAGTGGTTATACTTACCTGCTTTGTGCAATGATATTGCACAGAACAGTCCCTTTCTATAACATGTGACCCTAAGTCTAAGTTCACACCTTTGCGTTTTCCCGCTGCGTTTTGCAGAAATGCACAGCAGTCTATTTAACATGATTTCCAATGGGACAGGTTCACATCTTCGCTTTTTCACTCGGTGTATTTTTGGAAAG